CGAAAAATTTTTCGCTGAAACGTTGCCTATAGATGTAATTCGATGCGCTGATCACGAATATAACATCCGTTTCGAGCGCTGGCGTCATTTGGCGCCATTATGCGCCAATTTGGCGCCCACCACTTTTTCACCAAAGTTGATGAAAACTTGCATATGGGGGTTAATTGAGGTCCTGATTACGAATCCAACATTCATTTTCGGCGCTGGCGCCATTTCTGACGCCAGCGCTCAAAAGCAGTGTGATATTCGTAATCAGGACCTCAATTAACCCCCATATGCAAGTTTTCATCAACTTTGGTGAAAAAACCAAATTGGCGCATAATGGCGCCAAATGACGCCAGCGCTCGAAACGGATGTGATATTCGTGATCAGCGCATCGAATTACATCTATAGGCAACGTTTCAGCGAAAAAAATTTTTGAGTGTTCTGGGGTAGGAATAGTGCCGAATAATTAAATAAATAAGAAATATCAATTAATAGCATGAACTCGTAAGTACGTAGATGACTAAATAATACGTCTCAAACAGATTCGTGCGTATTGTCCTTTCCAAACCCTAAACAAACATCTGCTTGCATGGATAAAAGCACCTGAAATCAGAATTTACACCTTTCCACCACCTCTGCGTAGGAGCGTAATGCACGGCGCACACTCGGACCAAATCGATCAGTGATAGCCGAGCTCCTCTTTCACTCATTTGAAGGGAAATATGTGTTTTGAAGGCACAAAGTTTCCGAAGGTGTATCCTGACAATGGCACACAGGGAGTCGAACTTTTGAGTAGCTCAGAGGGTAGCTTTTTGGTAACCCATCTAAAATATCTCCTGATCTAGCGGGTCTTCAGGAAAACTGTAAAGCTTGTTGGAAAGAGAAAAGATAGGGCGCTCTGAAGACGGTTTTGGTCCTGATGAAATTGCGTTCGAAATAAGTAATCCTCGTGTGAAGCATAAAAACCCGCTTGCCATTTACCCCTAGCCGATCCCCATCCGAAATATTTCACGAACGGGGAAACATTCAGGTTGCAACTAGGTAGAAAACGCAACAGTAGGAACATTCCGTTGCATGCTGCTAACCATTTCAAAAGCCGCGCCCCTAAAAGAGATATAACCCCCCCCCGAAAAGACCCCAGGACGTTGGCAGGTCCAACAACCGCGCTCCAATGACGTTTTTCCAATGAAAGCGGTCGCAACGTTGCGATCGATAATAGCCAAGTATAGAACGATATACTGCCGCCTGGTTATCCATTTTTTCATTTGGCTCCGCATTTTTTGTATTTTTCATGTTTCGCTTTGTTGTGTCGTGCATGTTTTCATGATTTCCCCGTCACCATTCATTGAATGCACATCTGGGGCCTGACACGCTGACCTTGGGGCTATTTTTTCACCAATTAGCTTATCAATGATCACCATTAGTCGCTGTTTCGATTGTGTTCCTTGTTACAAGTTGCATGTCATACATGGTTATCGAACGACGGAGTTTTATTTTGAATCCTAAGACAAAATTGTAGGTAATGCGAGGCTGTTGTTCAGCCTCATATTGCATGAGGCTGAAACAGCCTTTATTGCCTGGATTTTAGAGCAGAGTCGCCTTTCGAAAATCCAGATTCCATTTCAGAAGCCATTTCGTGTGGGCATGCACAGTTAGAGCAGGAGGGGGGGGGGGTCGTACTCACACCGCCATTTCGCTCATACCCAGGCTGTACCCTGTAAGCGCAAACCCAATCAACGGAAGCATGGTGTAGTGGTAGTGGTCTTGCTTCATAGGCGTGGCAGGGAGGTTCACGTTCTGCGTAAGGCGCTTTTTTGCATTCTGTGAGGAATGTCTCTTTTGGGTCTAGAAAACACTCAAACGCCAGCTGGGTGTCATATTCGCGTTCAGGGAGCAAAACTACTGGGAAAGGGTTTCTAGCCAGATGTGAGGTTTTGACCTAACTTTGAAAAGTGCGGCAGCAGTTGATCGAATGATGGTCACCAGTAGTTCCAGGGCCAGTCTCTTGTCGATTGCTTGTCTTTGGACAGGAATTGCTTTTAGATATCAGGAAAACTGGAGCAGTAACAAAATGAAAGCGTCAGAAATGGCAAGATGACGCTTTGCACAGTAGAATGTATCTGTAGCTGAACAGGTGTGGACATGAATTGATTTGCACCCTATGGATGCTTCACTTTTCGAATTCAGGTCAAAATACCAGATTTAAACTGGCTAACTGGCCCGCTGAACACGAATATGACACTCGCTGAGCGCGAAAACGCCTGTATCGCACGACGGGCACCTGTACGCCCAAATCTTTTCCTGCACTACAAGGCTTCTACAAGGAGCCCAAGCGCAGTAATAAACGGACGCAAACTTTTCTTCAGGCAATTTAGGTGAGCAGGGATCCGATCTCATGATGACCTTTGCGTGATAGACGCGGAGGAAAAAGCTCCATAACTCCGTTCAGAGAATCGTTCTGCAAATTTCGAAGGCAGATTCGAGATCAGCGTCCAAAACCACGTCTAGTGAGCTACATCACAAATGGCCACTTCGACCTGACGACCTTCCCTAGTTAGAAAGGTCTTGTTAAAGACAGCTCCCGCGATAAAAGTGTCAAGGATAATTGCTGATCAATTATGAAACAGTAGCTGATAAGTAATTCCTCAATGAAGGAAAAAAGAAACAAGAGCCCTCAAGAACACCATAAACAAAATCGCGCCCTGACAGTCACACCTCCCTGCGGTCTCTGTGCAAGCCCTGGCTCACAAATCACTTTGTCACATCTCCCAGTAGTGGATATCATCGAATGCGAAGAAAAGAAAAAAAAACAACAGAAACATAGAGGAAAAACTCTTGAAAAGAAAAGGAAACATTTAAAAAGCCGGCGTCCGAACTTAGGGTTACGGTAGCGAGCATGTTTTAGTGTAGTGAAGTGCGTCGAGCTTTTGCACCACAGAAATTGCATCATTCGTGATTTTTACGCGTTTTACCTTACGAGATGGGTTGCTGTTGACTGTACGTGCTCCCAATGAATAAAATGTGATGAAGGAGAGCAGAATTATTTACGAGCACGAGCGCGGTCAGCAAAAAATACATGCAGTTCCGATTAATGACTGCCGTCCCAACAAGGAACAACTGAGCGGCTCTCCGTCAGAGGGCAGCTAGCTAGTGAGGCGGTCCAACTGAGCAGGCGTTAGAACTTTGAGCGGTTCTAGCTCGCTCCTCGCTCGCTGAGGAGTCGCGAGAGTGAGATAGTATCTAGCTTGGGGGCTGAACTACCTGCCCAAGGAAGGACGACCATGTACTACTTGAGCGCGGGGGCTGTCTTTAAGGTAAACTGCAGTCAACCACTCCTCCTAGAGCTTACACTAAAAAAAACTAGCATATTACTACCTATAATGTGCTCAAGGCGGAGGCGGCGCCGTGACAAGTCCCGCTTAGCGCGCGCTCGATCTGGTGGTCAAGCCTTGAACCGGCTCCCTCTCAAGCTAGCCATTTCGGGCTATAAATAAGTGCCAAATTCGTCTAGGACGGTGAAAATAACGATCGACTTGTAGATCCGCTGGCACACGGAAGTCATTGTATGGGCCAAATTACAAAAAGGGGTTCATCGGCTGTGTGAGCTTTCACATCTAATCTTAACTATTTACCTTTTCCTGTCATTACAGGTGATCATTATGGCAGATAATGATGATGAAAGAGTTGAATGTCTGACACCAGTGGTTGAGCTCTGCCTTCCATCGTCTGATGACACTGCGGACATTTACGATATGGAAAATGACAGACGCAGCACCTCTGATGGGTTGGTTGGAGGAGTACCATGTTCCAGTGACTATTCAACAAGATTAACGTCATGATGTTGTTCAGACTCGGAACAGTCGTTTTCCGTAGAAGACATCGTGCTGGTGTACGGTTAGAGGTCAAATATGGAGAGACTTGCACAAATAAGGTCCTCACTCTTCTGGTTAAGTATAGAAATGAGCAGTGCTCTATGCAAATGAACACGGAACCTGAATGGAGGTTGACTCGTGTGCAGATTTCTTTGTGATAGCTTTATTTATATTATTTATTATGAAAACTTTGATCGAGGGTTTTCAACCTTTATCTGCTAATTTCGAAGCTTGTCCAGTGAAATATTGCATGGTGAGAATAATAAACATTTCAATCTTCATTCGTTTACGTCCATCTTCATTCATTTACGTTTTTTTTCTTGTAAATATCTATCAGTACATCAGTTTGTGGCGTAGTTAGTCGTTAAATGTCGTCGATGCATTTCTCGCTTACGAAACGTCCTAGACAGTCTCGAAGTATTCCATGATTGTCTCTCCATATCCTGAAAGGTACCTGCTGTATGGTTGAATCATAGATTACTCGCTCTGGAGGTTACAATTAGAGACAACGGAGCTGCAACTACAGTAGCGTGCCACTCTCAGTCAGTGGCGCGTTCAGACTTCCCCATGATGCGCGTCGATGCGCTACACTTGGAACAGCGCTCCGAAGCTATAGTCGCAATTGCAGAAACACAGGTACAGTGTGGACAAACAAGACTATCAGTATCGCCACACTTAACAATGACACCCTGACCAGTCGCTCTGTCGAACTGACGGGTCGAAACGACGAGAGAGATCGGAGATTCCACCTGGATGTCGCCATTGCCGCGTCACAGAGGCTGGAGCACGCAGTACAAGATGTGCAACGAGTATCCGACCTCATCATGAGAGTTACAATGATCTTCTTACCACGACGAGAACCCATATTATGTGAATCTACGCGTCGAAAGGAAGCTTGCGCAGTGCCAACAAGTTCTAGAAGCTGCCAACTTAGCACTGTGCTTCTATTTGACGGAGACCTGTACATCACGGCTGATTACGATGGACATGGTGCAAGCAACCACCAATTCGAAGTCGTTCAAGGAGGATCTGCCTACGGCACAATGAATGAAGATGGCACACGCATACTGAAGTTCGCCAAGTCAGTGGATCTGATCACAATCAACTCCTTCTTCCATAAGATGAAACATCTAGTCACGTATAAGTGGTGGGCGTAAGACTACGTTGTGACGCAGAGGAGCCAACGAAGCAACGTGCTAGGCTGCAAAGTGATCCCATGGGCAACGAGCAACAATCGACTCGTCCAGTAATTGCAGCCATTAGGCTGCCTGCTCTCTCCTCAACTCATCTGCCTTCAGGCAGCGGAGAGTCAACAGAAAGCTCTCGAGGTGGAGCAGGATTGCTAAGCTGAGACCAACTGTCGAGGACCACTTATCGATGAAGATCCGGCAGGTCACGTTCGAAGATACTGTGAAGAATTGGAAGAGACTTGTCGATGAAATCCGAGACACCGCCCGGACCACTGACTATAAGAAGAAATTTAAGCATGCACCGAACCGACATGCTTGGTTCTGGGAACAAGGATGTATCCGTCGCGGTCAAGGTAAAGAGAGACGCGTACGAAGCTTCCCTACGGAAGAGACCGGAAAGGAATTAGGCACCGCAAAGTGCGAGAAGCCGAACGGGTAATTGCTAGTACCAGCAAGAGCAAGACAGATGCTCTTGTCGCCGACCTGGATACCAAAAAGGAGCCTGTATAAACATCAATATAATCAGGAAGCCCTGTAAGAATACTACCAGGAGATTTGCAACGTCGAGTTCCCGCATCCGGCACCTCCGAGTGATCCACCAACTCGAGGGCCCATTCCACGTATCACCGAGGATGAAGTCGAAGGTGCCATCAACAAGGTGAAGAACGGGAAGGTTACTGGTCCAGAAGATGTTCCTCTAGACGCAAGAATGCACTTCGGAAGTCATTCATATCTAATGCAGCCTTTCAACAAGTGCTTCGAAGGAGCGATCCCGACGACTGGTCGAATTGTGTCACCGTACCGATATATAGAAAGAAAGGGGATACCTAGCTGCGGCGACTATCGACCGATTCGCCTGATGTGCCACACTTTGAAAGTTTCTTATCGAGTGCAGGATGCCAGGCTAAGGGAGATAGTTTATATCATTCGGGTGATGCGGATTTCGACGTGAACACGACCACAGACACCTTCTACATCCTTCGCCATCTGATGGAGAAAGCTAGAGAGTGGAACAAACCACTTCATTTGGCTTTTCTGTAGTAAGAGAGCCTTCGATAGAGTGCCGGTCAGCTCATTTAGGAAGGTCTTGGGCATCAGCAAGTTTCAGAAACACTCATTAAGGCAGTCCAGTTCACCCACTTGAACTTTACAGCAACGCCTGTTGAAGGCATTCCACGGTTCCCGGCTGCTGTTGTTCACCAGAGATCGGCTCTTTCGCCACTGTTGTTCTCTGTATGGACCACGAGGAAAATCAGGAACGAGCCGCCCCTGACGCTGGGATATGCTGACGATGTACTGCTGATGGACGCTCCAAAAGGAAACTGACGCATCAACCGCTGGTAGAGAAAGAGAGAGAGAGAGAGAGAAAGAGAGCTTGTAGACCGTGGACTCAGGCTTAACATCAGGACGGTGTACATTGCACCACCGCAACAACTTCGTCGATGTCAGTCGATGGAACATCCCCTTACCATTAGAGCAACAAAGTTCTCGTATCTCGGATCTACGCTAGCCGCGGATGGAGATGCCAAGGCCAACTGAAGAATCAACGCTGCATAGAACAAATGGAGATCTGTTACTGGTGTCCTCTATGATAGGAGAATACCATACGCTGAAGTCAAAGATCTACACTTCAGTCGTGAAGCCAGTCGCCATCTATGGAGTCCGAGACTAAACAGATGACGGCCGAGAAAACAAGAGCCTATGGTGTTATGTAGATGAATGTTACGATGTAGTCTGGGATACACGCGACTCGTCCGATCCGAATCGAAACTGTCCGAGGCAAGATGAAGGTAGACCGATTGCAAACTCTCTTGCCGCATCGCATCTCTGCTGGTATGGTCACGTTCAACAAAGTCCTCCTGATGCTGTATCGAAGTCTGCTGATAAGATTGTTTGTCGAAAAACGTCCAAAAGGCCGACCCAGAACGCGGTGGAAAGATGACCGGAACATGGACATAAGTGCTGCTGGCTTTTCGGCAGTCGCTGCCGCTTCAAGGGATCGTTGAAAAGCGTTAGTCAAAGAAGCGTACCCGACAGTTGGACAAGCTCGGAAGAAGCAAACTGTATGCAGTAGGGTTCAAGTACGAGCTCGGATGCTACGTGACATACCAGTGAAGAAACAAGTAGAAGTTATCACTATACAAAATGCTCCGCCCTACAAGATCTTCCAGGCTTTGAACTGCATGAGGCGAGAGAGTGTTGATATACCCTAGATATATAGAAAGTGTTGATATACGCTGATATTGTGCGTGTTTGAGAGGTCGACTTCATTATGCTGAACACCAACCTCACCACCGGTTAGGCATAGGTCTACCGCTAGCGAATGAGCAGAGTGTCAGAGTGTTGATCACGTTACCAGCGTCCAACAGCCGCATCGCTCATTTTTGGAAGGTAAAAACACCTTGTACAGCTGCGAAAGCGGCCATCTGTACAAGAAGGCTCTGTTTACCCATCTCAAACGACCAAGGATTGTGCCATCGATATCTATTTTTTATAATTTGCTGCGTCTGTCTGTCTGTCTGGAAATTCACTTCTATCAGAATCAGAATGATACCACTATTGATTGGTGCAATTCATTTTTAGTGATCTTCCTTCAATGCGGCTGTTGAGCAACAGCAGAAGGATTTTAAACCTTATTTTTGCTATTTTCTTGAAAAATGCTCTGTGCGAAGCCAGGTCGGCCCCGCTGAGCCGGTCCGTGATCTGTGCGAAGCCAGGTCGGCCCCACTGAGCCGGTCCGTGACATGGAAGGAGGACTGCCCGGCGATAGCTGGGCGATCCGACTGATGATTTCATAAAACATCCCGGAAAACGTGTGAACACCAATTAGGCAGCTGTCCTCGTTGTTACCATGAAGAAAAGTTCTGGAAAACTCGTTCGAAAACTGGTGAGCTTCCACATCTTCAAGAGAGGCTCGTTTGAAGGTTGTCGTGGGTTCTTTATGGGTTTACCTCACATGAAGAGTAATTAGGTGCATAGAAACTCATATCTGAATGCGTACCCACGCCACCCATGGCGAAGTGTGCATCTAGTAAGCGCTGCTTTGCTCCATGCCTTTATACCGTTCATAACACCGAGCGTGAAGACCGGCGTTTTGGTAACGTCTACACATTTCTCTGTCGAATCTTCTCCCACTTCTCAGCCTATCTTTGGTCTGCACTCGCGTAGACATGCTCTCGTTTCCTACAGTTATGGCCTTTATCAGTCCATACCTATTCTCATCCGTGAGAAGGAGCTATTCTTAAGTGTGAAGAGAACTTCGTAACTAATTTGAGAAATTATTGTGGAACGAGAACACTCCCACACTGAACTCACCCTAGGTGTGGACCTCTTCTTGCTCTCATTCCTGTTCGAGGGTTTTCGATGTGTGGATCTTTCCCCTTCATGTGGGGATACTGCTCTTGGTCGCCTGAATCTCTGACCTTCCGATGAGCAGCACCTATGGTATGTCGTTGATCAAGAACGATCTCACTCGAGTGGGAACTCACCTGCTGGAATGTCCATTATCCGATCCACCGTAACTAGAAGATTTCTTCAGAACTCCACGTCGCTTGGCTATGGTTGACTCGGGTTGCGCAACTTTAAGGTCGTTTCCATTCATTTAGACAGGAAAACTTGGAAAGACATTGGTAACTTACAAGAAACTGATTTATGAGGCTTCTCACTCTTGGGACGTTCAGAGCGTTCAGATTCAGATCGTTCAGATCGTTCAGATCGTTCTGATCGTTCGGATAACGAAGAGGACCTCTGAGAGCGTTCTGAATCTGTCGAGTAGGGCGGTGGTGAGTAATGAACCGGGCGATGATATCGCCTAGAACGTGGATATTTCCGAGAAGTTCGTCTTCGATGTGAAGATGACATGGTTAGTAGAAATGAACTGAGCTCACCAAAGGAACTCTTTTATATCCGCTCTTATCTCCCATTAGACATTCATTTGCACTGTTGCATCAGAAGGCACTGCAGTGATTTCCCATTTGCACTATGACTGAAAGATAACCAGTAGTAAGAGTGGTGTATAAATAATTGTGGTGTGATAATGTGATCACTTCATAGCAAGTCCAATTTGTCTTACTTGTACTCTAGTCGTAAGTGAAGCCCGCAAATGATGAAGAACCGAGTGTAACTCTATACAGAGGCTCAAAAGCCACCGAGAAGATGACGAGTGATGTCCCATTCTTGCTCAGCGGCACGAACATCTATGAACGCTTATAATATGTATACCCACGAAATCAAAATTGTAAACAAACTGGCACCAGAACTGAGCGGCAACAATGGGGCGGCACAGTGCAATAATTGGAGTAACAAAGGATGTGCAGAACATCTACTACCCTGTTTGCTGCGGACGCGGGGCGGGGTTGGATTTATCGCGGCAGCAACCTGTTCTCCAGCTTTGCAGTAGAACGGCACCGTACAAAACGCAGTTCCTGAAACGCCTCAGCTTCTCTTTTCCACTGGTTGTGGAAGCTGGCTGGTCCCACAACTGATGGAGAAAAGGCTGGCGTCGCTCCAGTCTTCCAACCCTATTGTCCGAACAGGCCTCAGCATCCACAGCGAACAGTACTGTAACTCCGTGCCCACCCTCTTCTGCTGTCCGTCTTGCCCCAACGTACGCCTAATGGTCAAAGACTGAGTTCACGCAGGCAGGATGAATAAGAGCTCAGCATCACTCCAGCTGCTTTCATATTTTGCGACAGTAGAGAATCAGGGCATTCGAAAAATCGACTGATCTCGAAACATGAAAATCTGGAGAGACTGCAAAAAAAGGGAATGCACATACATTCGTCTGTTTTCGCAGACTTCTCAATTCTTCAAGGCCCACGACTTCTCGATTATCCCGATTCGCGGGCCTCAACGCGGCATCGAAAGTACGTACTATGCTCGAAATACGCGAGTGATAAAGGAAAGTGGGGTGCATTCAGTCCGTCGACGATCGAAGATCGGAGATACAGCTTTATTTGTCAGTTTTTGAATACGCTAATTTGTCCTGCAATTCGGGGACGGCCGCTGAACTGAAGTGGTTACCAAGTGGGCTCTGTCGCAGTTCAGAGAGAGACCGCCCTACTAGTCCTCTCCCACGACGAGCATCAGTGTATCGAAATCCGCTCACCCACCATTAGCCCACCTCAGTCTCACAGTTCCCCGGGGGCCATATCGCTTTCCCGCACGATATAGTCTCGGTTCCCCGAGGGACCACCCGGGTCTACGCCCGTGACAGGCTGAAGGGGACGGCAGCCCATGACCAGGCATGTCCCCGTGGGGGGTCCGACCTCCCTCATGTCCGTCCTGGACCCCCAGGTCGGCCGGCCCTCCCACTGTCGCAGCCTGCCGTAACCGGTCTGACAGCATGCCTGTTAACCCCCTACGGCATGCAATAACCAACCACACAAAATACCAATAGAAATATGACCAATAATAAATATACCTTAACCCTAACCTGTACCTTCCCTTGCCTTACCAGCACCTTACGGGCCCACTTGCCCGGTCGCTCCCAACTCCCATCTATTGCAACATAACAAAACATATAAACACCATATTTATTAACTCACGTGTTTGCGGTAACCATCTTCCAACTGTCCTTACATCCTGCCGTAGCTGGACTGACCATCCATCTGCCATCTGTCCTAGCGGTAATCCTAGCGGTAAAGGGCGCTCTGCGGCTACAAGCTGCAACCCACAGCCGGCCGTGCCTTCGGGTCATAGCAGGCACGGGCCTGAGCCAGAGCTCCGCCAGACGGAGCAGTGTGCCCGACCACACTGCTGTACAGAGTGCAAGCACCCTGCAGAACCGTCCGGCATCATGGCGGCAGAGCGGGTGCCCGGTGGATCTCTCCTCCCGGAGGGAGAGAAGCACACCGACTGGCTCGCAGCAGCCCTTATAAGGGCTCCACTGGGGGCGGGGCGGCGGCGCGGCCTTCGGCGGTCGCGTCGCGGCTTTGCCCGTGTAGCGCGCCAGAGCCCAGGCGCACGGGACCCCGGCCACGTTGTCGCGAACCGCGACACTCCCGAGAGCAAAAGCGAGTGCTCCCGCGGGTGCGTGGAGCACGACGGTCCGGGGTTAATTTGGAACCCCCCAAAGAAAAAACCGTGCGACTGGCTATGGCCTCCCCCTTAGCGGTAAATGGATGGCATGGTCATTCCTTACAAACTGCTACCTAATCGGCAGTCCCTACTAGTCATAAAGCTCATGACAGAAAGATGGTGCCTTAGGGGCCACCGATAAACCACATCACACAAAGACCATACCATACAGCGAGAAACTGGGCACCTTAAGGGTACCTCAAAACACAACAAATGCAATTATGCAACAAATGAAAACACAGCAACTAGAACTATCTTAAAAACACTTCGACGAAACCTAGGGCGAGAGCCTTAAGGGCAACTCGCAAAAAACATAAATGCTGAGTATCTTAAGGATACCCAGAGAGACATACTGAGCGCCTTAAGGGCTACTCAAAAAAGGAAAAGGATGAAGTTACAGAATTGCGCCGGAATCCTCCACTTTCCATTCATCGTTGACCATTGGACTGATTGACCATCGAAACCATCGAACTCGAAACAGCAACTTGATGTGACGTAGCAAGATGTTGATTGACTTGACGATGTTGTAGAATAGAATCGTAGTCGTCGTCGTCATTGCCACGTGCCCATCTTAGTTGACTGCACCTTGCCCATCTTTGTCGTCAGTCCTTGCCCATCTTGTCGATCGTACCTAAAGTAAGAGAAAACCGGCGGTAAGTTGTTGTGTTTCCACTTGGGCAACAACGCGGTAACTTTCATATCTTTCAGACAGCGGTAACTTTCATTGAACTCTAACAGCGGTAAAGTGGCATCTCGTACTGTTCAGTACGGACGCGCACTGCGGTAATTTCCTCGCGATTCCGATCGGTGGTCACGGGAAGACGATCTTCCCCCTGATCGGCCTCGCGAGTACTTATGCGGAAAAGTACGTCGATGTCTCTGAGTTCCATCCTCAGGGACGAACGTATCTCTAGCGAGATCGTTATAGAAGTCGCAGCGGGTGTGTTGATGTCGATGATAGCATGTAAGGTTGTGCACACAGACTGCCTGATGGTGATTGTCTTGACCGCACAACATACAATTCTGTAAGCGGGTACAGAAGTTCGTATGAACTTTCAAGCACTTACTACAGACTTTGATGTCTCGGAGGATACTAGCCCTCTCCGAAAGACGTTTTCTGTAGTGGCATTCAGCGGAATAGTGCCCTCTGTTCGAACAGAAGATGCACGGCGGTTGATCCTTCTTAGGAATCGCTTGCGGCAACTGCGGAGACGGACTGAAAGGAGTCTGTCTGTCGCTGTCGCTGCTTCGCGGTTCCTGTGAAGCTTGGCGGGAACGTCTCGGTTGTACTTCTCCTGGAGTCCCTGTTGGAGATGGTGCGCGACCACGTTTTCCCCTCCTAGAAGAACTGGACGAGGTCCATCCCCTCCCGATGAGCAGAGAAGAACTGGGTCGGGCGCCCATTCCTGTAGGACGCACTGGGAGCAGGAGATGGCTGTACAACTCGAGGAGCCTGTCTGCTAGGACCAGGCTTTTGCGGTAAAGAGCGCGCGTACTCTACTGCTTGCGCCGACGCTTTGTCGACAAATTGCTTTGTCGTCTTATGGTCGAGCGCATGCGAGTAGTTGTCTCGCCACCATTGGAGAGATTGTATGAACTGCGCTTCTGTTGCGGGAAGATTGCCTGGAGGGGCCCGCTGAACTTCTACAATGAGAGAACGAGCGTCGGCCTCACCCCCTGGCAAATCAGCGATAAGTTGGAGCTGCGCCGTTTCTATCGCACGCAAGTATCTTGTAAGGAATGCGGCCACCCCTGAGGCCCTTGTTAGTAATGCTACTATGTGCGCGATAGAAACGCTGCATCTGTCCAAAGCTTCTTGTAAAAGCTTGCGGTAATCTTCGTCTGCGAAACATGGAATAATCCCTTCTTGAAGGATATCCCTATGCACAGACATTGCGGTAAGACTATGTAGTATTTCTTGTGACCAAGCCGTAAAGGTGGAGAAACTGACCATGTCGGGCGACGAGTCGGTCACAAAATTCGCGAGCTGAGTGACAAGGTTTACGGAGTTGTTCGTTGTCCTTCTCAACAGCTCGAACGAATTAATGATTCCCAACACCTTCGCACGAAGATCAATGTTCATATCCTTCGTCGGCTCGGTGTCGTGCGGTAAATATGAAGGCTCATATTCCTTCACCCCAAAGCGGTAAACTGATGCAAGTTGCATCGCGGTAAGTTCCTCGACGTTGTGCTGATTAACGAAGAAGGAACTGGTTGCGGTAACTGGCGGTAAAGGTAGAACGTCCGTTGGAGCAGGATTCCTCCTAAGTGGAGTCCTTTTCCCAGACGTTCCCTTCGGACCGGCTTTGAAAGCCTTGTCACGAAGGCTCTCGAACGTACGTAGGTATTCCTCATGCGCGTTGCGCATGGCGGATCCTACGGTGCGGATCGAACGAGAGTAGTCAAGAATGTTTTGCCGCTTAGGATCAAAAACTAGATCCAGCGGTTGCGGAAAACCGAAAGGTTTCCAACCCGTCAAAGTCGCGGATACCGAAGCGTCTGCAACCTGAGGGTTTGCGGAAACACTTTGGTCGACACCGAGTGTCTGCGGTAATGGCTGTTCGACTGCCGTGGAAACGTCTTCGCCTTGAGTTGAACCCTGTGTCTCGAAAGGCACAGATTGGTCCATCTCGTCGTCGTCCACAAGACGAGGCAAAGGCCATCTCCCTGTGGATGGAAAAGATCTCAGGATGGCGCTTCCCTATTCGAATCGGCCACATTGACCAATTCGCTAAACGATCCCGACAACCCTTCAACCTGGCTGTCAGCCTGCGGTAAGTTTG